AGAGTCACTCCATGTGTCAGGAGCGGGCTTCACACGCACCATCTCTCATCACAGTTCCTGAAGGAGGCAGATCACCTGGCTTCACAGTAAGGAGTCAGAGGTTCAGAAAGGATGACATAGCTAAGGTCACGTAGGGACAAAATCAGGGTTCAAACTTGGGTTTGGTTGCTTTGGAAACCCATATCCTTTGTTTTGCCAGGCTCATACTACATGGCAAGGCTGCATTTTGTGACCTGCACTTAAGGTGTGGCTTTACAGGGCCCAGAGCAGAGGCCAGAGAGGAAGGGAGGGTGTAAGAGGAGGTGCCTCTGCCCAGAAGACCTGAGACTCTCCACTCACCCTGAACACAGCCAGGGACAGAAGGCTGCATGGGTGTGGTGAGCATGCGGCTTCTATATGTAATACATGCTGATAACTGTGATGGCTGACTTCATGAATGAGTTAAGGAAACACATGGGCAGAAGCTGGCAATATTAGACAGCACTAGAATGGCTGACTTCAGAATTACTCTTCAGACAAGTTATTTGAGCTCCGAGTCTCAGTTTCCTTACCCACAAAAGGTGAATGGCATTTACCATAAATGGTTTGTTTTGTTTTGCTGTTTTGTGCAGTCCGAATTGAACCTAGGGTATCACGCTTGCGAGGCAAGTGCTCTACCACTGAGCTACAGCCCTTCATGTAGGACTTGGTGGTGGTTAACTGACTCATGCCTGCAAGGTGTTTAGCACAGTGCTGGCAGTCAGTAGAAACACTTAATCCTTTTTGGCCATTCTTATCATTTTATCACTACCATTATTATTATGATGATGAGAAATTGTAGCTCATTTGCATAACGAACACCAGGAAAAGCTAGAATAATTCCTTTCATTCCCAAAGCTGACTCCAGACTTTTACTCCTGCAGGGGAACTATAAGAATTTATTTTCTCCTCGTTTTACCAGGAAAATGCATTATAGAGAGTTACCTGAGCCTCAAAGTTCTCGTGGTGAACCTGGGCCTAGCAGCTCCCTCCTAGATCCAGAGCCCGGCAAGGGGTCCCAAGCAGACAAGGAGTCCTGCGGTCTGGCTCATCTCCAGCGGGTGGAGCCCGAGAGTCCCGGCTGCCTGGCTGAGGGCCGATAAGGACTAGCCTCACATCCAGTGAGTGGGAAAGGAAGATCTTCCTTTCTTGCGTCTTGTGGCAGGAAAGGGTTTTTTTTTTAATTCTGTGTTCACAGAGGTGGACCTGACTTTGTTAGATTTCTGCCACTAATGGAACAAGCCACAAAACTGAAATTGAAGAATGGGGAAGAGTGTTTTTCCATTCAATGTTAGATTCTGCTCTGGTTGTTACCTTGATAAAGGTGGCAGTGCACCCTGCAGTTTCACCTGCAAAGAGGAACAAGCCAGGGAAGCATGTGCGGTTTTGTTTTCTCCTCCATGAGGCAACAGGTAGCTAGCTGGCTTACAGCAAATATCCTGTGTTCACCTGTCCTCACTCCCCCCCAGGGAAGCATGTGCGGTTTTGTTTTCTCCTCCATGAGGCAACAGGTAGCTGGCTTACAGCAAATACCCTGTGTTCACCTGTCCTCACTCCCCGATGGCCGTCAGGGCCTTGCTGACCTCACACCTGTGCAGAAGTGACAACTCAGAGAAACTTCCATCTCAGGAGCAGCCCCACCCCCACCCCCAGCTCCAAGCCTGCTCTACAGCAACCTGTCCTGTGGTTTGTTCAAATGGCACTGTGGGGATCCTTTTTGGCTACAAATCTTTCCAAAGTGAGGGTAGGAAAGAAGAGAAAAGATAGACTTGAGTGGGATAATCACTAGGTAAAGACCCTGAGATGCTGTGAAAACATGGGAAAGCCATTGGCACGATGTCAAGAGAAGAGAAAGGGAAAAGGCATGAGGTGCTGAAGCCAGGGACCAGCTCTCCTGCATTGCTTTGGCATTGGTGACTGAAGTGGGAGGAGAAAGTTGGTGCACAGACCTGCAGAGAAGACTGGGTATAAAAGGGAGAGGTGCCTCCCCAGTACCATCTCCTGCAGCACTCTCGCTTTCAAGAGAGCTTGGCTGGTCTTTATCAACCATTGCCTTCTGCCACCAGGAAACCAGCTGGTAAGTACCCTCCTCATTTCTGTTAACTGCCAACTCTTCCTTGCTGGGACTTGCTTTAGCTGGGACTCCCTCCTTTTTTTGAAAACAGAGAACAAGGATTTGAACTTAGATGAGTCTGACTCCAGATCCTATACTTTCTTTTAATTATTATTATTACTATCAGTTTTAATGGTACGAGCTAATGGTTTCACTGTGACACAAATTGTGCCTTGATCATGTTCCCCTTCCCTTCTGCCTATTTTTCTCTTCCCTTCCCCACCTCCATTCACTTTTTATTAGAGAAATGTGTCTCTGGTTGTCAGAACTGAATAGAAGCAGGGAAGTCGGAGTTCTGGTAGACTAGAAGGCTATTCAGCCCTGGGCTTCTCCCAGAAGCCTAAAAGTAATGCCTTTGTGATTTCTGAAGAAGCTGCCTTGGGTTGCTGTGGAAGAGGAATTCCACAAGGTGTCCACCCTGCATGCTAAATGGCCCTGACTTAACACCATGAGAAGCTTCATTAGACAGTGCTCTTGAAACAACCAAACAGGGTGACAAGCATTTATATGACTCACAAGAAAATGTGACAGCCCTTCTCAGTTATGGGCTTAGGGCTCCTGTGCGTGTGCTATCCTGCTGAAGGGAACGTGCGTGTATGCCCATCGGGAACTCTGACCAGTCACAACTTCCACTAACCCTCTATCTGCAGGCATGATTCAAGGCTCTGAGGAGTGCTGTCTTCTGAGGAGGGGAGTATTTTCTTCAGGAGGCAGGCATACCTGACAGCCATTTTCTTTGTTTCTGATTACAGCTTTAAGGAGAATTAAGTACTCTTGCCATTACAATCAGAAAGCACCTAAAATAAAGATTAGACAAAGTAACAAATAAATGTCAGTGCTGAATGTCTTACTAAGATAGAGCAGGGGTGTTTAAATGCTCTTCTAAATTCAGATCTAAAAGTTGGTATTATCTTTAAGTGGTACTTGAGGCCTGGAAAATTGAAGACTTTCAGTCTCTCCAATTTTACAACTACTAATATACATGCTGACAATAGATTGCGTTTCATTTTATGTAATAAAATGGGAAAGTCAGTTGAATTGAAATCTTGCTATTTGTCTCAGATTAAAATGCTGATCTCTGCCTCATTTTACTAGTGACCTGGCCTCTTAAATGCCCTTTCCAGCTCCTTCTGGAAGGCTTACCAGGTGCAGCTTCCAGATTATTCTTGGGATATTAACTTGTAGTTGTATCAGCAATATAGGAGAGAGGTTCACTTTGAGGAATTTATTTATCAGACAGTAAGTGATCCCTGAGGGAGCACAGAGTCCTTCCTGTGTTGTGGTTCAAACCCCGCCCCATTGTTTGTATCCTGCCACCCACTACAGGCCCTACCATGACGAAGCTGATAATGTAGTTTGTTGGCTTGAATAGAATCCTGAGTGGCATTAACTTGCCTGGCTCCAAACCGGAATACAAAGAACCAGTGGGACTTAGCTTCCCCATGAGGCTCCCTCTGCTTGGCACTTGCTAAGTGAACTTAGATGGCACCCATTGAGCCTCAGTTTTCTCTTTTATAAATGAAATTTGAACTGCATGTTCTCTAAACCCCACTTAGTTCACAAATTTTCTGTGTCTTATCACTAAGAAAATATTGGTGTTGATCTTAAGGAAACGGTTCTGTGGGTTGTGTGTGCAGAGGAAGGCGGGTGGGGAAGAAGATAGGAAGCAGCAGGCGTTTATACTGACAGACGGTGACAGACCCCACCTGTCCTTTCCTCCGTCTTTCACTCTTTCTTTCTTGTTTCTTCTCTTTTATAACCTAGTCTATTGTAAGAGCCCCGCTATGAATAAAATACAGGTGATGTAACCATGAGACATATCAACTTAGTTCATAACTAGCCAGATAATTTGCCATGGACACACACACACACACACTCACACTCACGCACACACGCTCTTCCTAGAATATATCCGAAATCAGAAATATTTCCACAACTGTGGATTTTTCAAGTCACTCTGATAAAGTTTTCAGGTTTTAGACAAAGTCTATAGAAGAATGTAAAAATGAATAAAAGGGAAATGAGATAAATATTACATGTAGAACATTCTAGAAACTTTGAAGGAAGAATTATATCTTTGGATGAAATGGAAAGGAAAGGGAGGAAGTGGGAGGGAGAGGAGGAAGAAAGAATAAATTACTAAAATCTCACAGATGTGTTCAATTTACCTGGGAATTGTGTCTTATTAACAAACTGATAGTCAATACTTACTAATTATTATTCAGATGTAAGAGGAAAAGGTTTTGAGGTATGTGAAAAGTACAGCTAGGATCTCATTACAGAAAATAGAACCCACACCCTCTCTTTCTCCCATGCCATACCGAACGAGGCTGAGCTACTGTTTACCTCAGTGTTGGTCCCCAGCACAGATGATCTCATTACAGAAAATAGAACCCACACCCTCTCTTTCTCCCATGCCATACGGAACGAGGCTGAGCTACTGTTTACCTCAGTGTTGGTCCCCAGCACAGACCCCTAACAGCTTTCCCCAGAGACTTCAGAGCCTGAAGTCACCCTCTCCCGCTGGAGCAGGCCTCAGATGGGCCAGCACCTACCAGCGGAGAAACAAAGCAGGAGACCAAATCACCTTCAGCCTCTATGCACCATGGTTCACCACCATTTTTTAAAGCAAAACAAAATGAATGTTCATTTCCATAGTCAGAGTGTGTCTTTCCTCCCTCCTACTGCAAGTTCCTTAATGAGTGGGGACCTCTGCTCTAGAGGTCCAGGGCAGGGAACACCTTCCTTCACCAGAAACACATCAGGCCTATCCCTTCATCCCAATCTGTCCTTTCCTGTGCTCATCAGAGCCAGGACACATCCTGCTGATTCACATCTTTTTGCCCTTTGTCATGTATGGAGAAAAAGGATGCATGGACAGTCTTTGATTGATGGCGCTGATGATGCCCGTCGTCATGGTCCTCTTTGGACAGACCCTTTTGGAAATAAAGCCGGTGAGGCAGCACAAGGAGGCTTCAGACAGCTAAGCTTGGCCCTGGCCAGCAAGTGGCAAGAACAGGTATGCTTTGTCCAGCAGCATCTGCCTCAGGGCACCTGGGAGGCTGCTCCTAGCCCTGATATGTCTTTTCTGAGCAGCACCTGGGATGTGGGTGGTCAGCAAACTCTGTTTAGCAGGGGGCTGTGGCCTGGGCCCTAGGGATTCAGTTCAAAAAGTCACGTGATACACCATAGGTTTAGAGGCCAGATTGGTGAGCTGGGGAGTTTGAACAGACTTAGGAAACCTAGAGAAACGCAGTGTGGAGTTTTATGTTTCTCCTGCTCCTATTAGATTTCCTTTTCCTTTATTGTCCTCTATTCGCCGTTGAAACACAATGGCCTTTTTAGGAGAGATTAAGCATCAGTCCTCTCCAGGACCCTGCATCCCAAGTAGAATGTCTGAATTCTTAAAAGTTCCCTAAAGAAATGAAGATATTCTAGCATGATAAAATTCTAGAGCGAACTAGATTTGTGTTACTGATTTCTTCTAAGCAGCTCTCACACTGAAGTTCTGGAGCAAGTATCAGGGCTCTAAGGGGCTCTGGAAGGACCAGCAGTTCAGAATAAATGGGTCCTGATGCCTCACACACAGCCACTGTCTGCTCCAGTCAGAAACACCTCTCTCTCAGAGAACAGCTCTCCAGCATGTCCAACATGTAGATATTAAAGGCACAAATCATAAGGCTGCTCTAGGTTGGGCTATGGATTTGGACAAAGGAAGTTTAGTCTTAACTTGGCCTAGCTGAGCAGGAGACTCGGGCTGTTCAGGTTCCAGTCATGTCTGACCAGTTATATTATCAAGTTTCGAATCTGTATCTCTAGAATCTCTGTGGTGATGTGGTATTAGAAACCCTCTAAAATAAATACATGCTGGAAGTTTTGAGGGTGTGAGCTTGGGTATTCTGGAGTTCATTTCCTTCACGATTTCCTTTCGGGTACAGCAACTCAGGATAGTTGTACCTTTGAGCTGCTTCTTGCCATTTCCTAGACTCTCATAACTTGGGATGACTTCAAAAATGGATCACTGTCACTACGGAAGGGGTTTACTATGTAATATTTTTAGTTATGGGGTTTAAAGAGGGACATGTCTGAAAATAAATGATAGCTATCAGTTAGACTACGAAATAAAAGACAGTTCTTCAGAAGTGTTTGATAACTTAAAAAGATCTGTGTCTTTAAAGTGTAGAGCTGACTGACCCATATGGACTTAGTTTAGATTCCTAGCCTCCAGTTTTCAATGTAAAAAATTCCTAATGCAAATATGCCTTGGAACACTCACCAGTGTTCACATGAGACAGAATGTTGCCAAGACAGAATGACCTTGGTCTGAGATGCAGTATAGAAATAGCATCAATTTTATACAGTGATTAATGGTACACTGTTGTTTAAGAAGCAGGAAGATAGCCAGGTATGATGGCACAGACCTGTAATCCCAGCACTTGGGAGATAGAGGCAGGAGGATCACAGCAAGTTCAAGGCCAACCTGGTCTACTTAGCAAGTTCCAGGCCAGCCTGAGCTGTAGTGTGAGAAGCATAGTTGGTAATAAATCAGTTGCTTTGACTTCTGTACTGGGATTAATGGAGGTCAAAATTAGAGTCAGGATGTTTAAAGAAAAAAGAGACAACTTTATTAGCTGTTAGTAGCAACTCGTTGGATATAATAAATAGAACGACGATGGGATCAAAACTAGCCATAGGACTTTGCTCACAGTCCTGCCGTGAGGGGAGATGAGCTGATGTATCTGCACAGGCTTGGGGCATTTCCTTGGTCTTGAGTTCTGTGGCCGTGGTTTCCACCTATTCCACATTTAAGCTTTCCATGGCCAGATGACTTGGGAGTTTCACTGCTTCTCACTCACCTGTTTGTGCTTTTTGTGGTTGCCCAATCAAGGTGGTTTGGCTATTAACTTTCTTCTACTGTTACCTCTAGGATTATGTCATTGGTAGTCCTTATATCTAAGATTGGCACCATGGAACGTTCATGTTATGTACACAGAGTACCAAATTCTTCAGGGTTGGTTCTCTCCTGTTATGTACTTGCCATGAGAAATAATCCTACAGCAAACGCAAGTTAGTTACACTGTTCATATTTTCCCAGCATGTTCTTACTATCATGAAGCCTTTTTATATTTTATTTATTATTTTTATTTTATGTGTATGAGTGTATTGCCTGCATGTAGGTAGGTGCACCCATGGTTCATGTTTTCCCAACATGTTCTTACTATCATGAAGCCTTTTTATATTTTATTTATTATCTTTATTTTATGTGTATGAGTGTATTGCCTGCATGTACGTAGGTGCACCCATGGTTCATATTTTCCTAACATGTTCTTACTATTATGAAGCCTTTTTGTATTTTATTTATTATCTTTATTTTATGTGTATGAGTGTATTGCCTGCATGTAGGTAGGTGCACCCATGGCATGCAGTGCCCGAGTATGTCAGAAAAGGGCATTGGAGTCCCCTGGAACTGGAGTTACAGACAGTTGTTATCCACCATGTGGGTGCCGCGAATCGAACCCAGGTCCCCTGCAAGAGCAGACAGTGTTGTTAACCACTGAGCGATCTCTCCAGCCCCCAAAGCCTGTGCATTCTTATACCACACAATCTTCACATAACCACTCTGGTTTTATAGCATTGTCCACTTCAACCTTTCCAAGTCTCTACACCTTTGGGGGTATATTGTTCTTGTTTGTTTTACAGATTTAAATAAAAGATTCAAAAAGTAAGGAATATCTGATGTAAGGCAATTCCATGTTGTGAGGACAAATCCAGGAGGTCTTGTACTTGGAGACGAGGTCATGGGCTTCTTAGGCTGTATCATTATTTTAAATTTTTCTTCTTTTTCAAATAATTCTTTAAATACTTTCATTGATTCCGGGATTTCATAGAATGTGTTTTGATCACATTCAGACCTGCTCTCCAAGCTCCACCCCCACCTTACTACCTTCCCTGACTTCATTTCCTCTATATTTTTTTCCAAATGATTCTTAAATAAAATTCGTAGTTTGGGTGGTTTTTTTGTTGTTGTTGTTACTGATGTTGCTATTGTTTTGGTTTTCTGAGCCCAGGCTGGTCTTGAATTGCTATGCAACTGAGACCGGTCTTGAATTCCCAATTCTGCCTCCAACTCTTAAGTTCTGAGATTATAGCTATATGCCATCACACCTGTCTAAAGCTGTTATTTTGTTTTAAAAAAAAATGTAACATTGATGATTTCAAAGCACTTATTTTAGTTCTTTCTATATTGTTTGACTTGCTATGTTGACATTAACTGCTTTACTTTCTCTCAACAACACCGAGTTCCTTAAGTGCAGGAAATAGGGGCTTAATAAATATTTGTTGAACTAGAAACTTATGTTACAGATCAGAATCTTATCATGGCAGAATTAAAGACGCCAAGAACAAAGATTATGTGGTATTTGGGTTTGGATAATAAGCCCTGAGATGATACTCAGGAGGAAGACAGTACATTCTTGGGTCTATAATACTTCATGGTCCAGATAAAAACCTTTGAACTTGTCTTCTGTGACTATTGTACCAGCCTTAGCTGGTCAATGTGCAGGGTTCTCCCTGGGGATATTTATGAACCTATCTCTCTCTCAAGGAACCAGAGGAAGAGATAGCCATGGAAGACAGCCCCACTATGGTTAAACTAGACCGAGGTGAAAACCAGATCTCATCAAGTCATGGGAGAAGGTGTGGCCTTAAAGTGTTTGGTTATGTCACTGGTGACATGAGAGAATTTTCCAACTGGCTTAAAGGTATTTATACATCCATTCTTTGGAGAGATGGGGAAGTGGCTTTGGAGAAATAGCTTGCTGGTACTTCTTCCTGTGTCTTTAGGTATAGTCCCCCGTATACCCTCTATTTTCTATTTTTTATCTTCTAACTTGAAAACGTCTTCACTGGAGAAATAGCTTGCTGGTACTTCTTCCTGTGTCTTTAGGTATAGTCCCCAGTATACCCTCTATTTTCTATTTTTTATCTTCTAACTTGAAAACCTCTTCACTTTCTTTTTCATGAAAACAATGGGCAGGAGCAGGGCCCTATTCATATTATCCCAAAATCTCAATACAAATTTTTACTTATGAAATTCATTCCTTTAGCTTAATCTGTATCTCTGAACGTGGTAAATAAATGCATTGGGTGTTTTCTTCAGCTTGGCTTCCATAGGGACAGTGTAGACCATAAACCCTCTCTCAAGGGTCAAAGGGAAGCTTTAAAGAATATCAGAAGTTTTATCTCCAGGGCATTCTGGTGATTTTGTCGGGTGGGCCTTGGGTTGTCTTGTCGCTTCCTTAACCCCGTTCTTCTCATCTCTTCCAGACAAGCCTGTGGTACTCCAGTTCATAGATTGGACTCTTCGTGGTATATCCCAGGTGGTGTTCGTCAACAACCCTATCAGTGGGATCCTGATTTTGGTGGGGCTTCTGGTCCAGAACCCCTGGTGGGCTCTCACTGGCTGTGTGGGGACAGTAGTGTCCACTCTGACAGCCCTCTTACTTAGCCAAGAAAGGTAGGCATGCCTCCCATGCCAACTCACTCCCCTTCTAAGACACTGGGCAGCCATGATAAAACCACGCCCTCCTAGGTAAAACAACCTTCATTCTATAGAACTCTTTCTGTTTCCCTTTAGTCAGAGACCAGAGAATCACCTATAGTGTTATCCTTAGCATCTGAATAAGGGACCAGTTTGAATAATGCCAGATCCTCACCAGCACTCACCTGTCACCAAGAAAGATCCCAGCAGGATCTTCTTTAATGATAAAATTATTTAACAGCATTTTGGGCAAAAATACTTATGAAATGTCTCAGAGACTTAATAACTGCCTTTATCTCTTTTGTCTATTATTAGTTTAGCTTAGTCATCTCGTTTCATAGGCAATGCAAAAGTCAGCTCTGCTCCTGGATTGATAAATAATTACACATTCTAGGATTTTTGTAGGATTATGCCCTACTGAATAGTTCTTCATTGCTTTCCTGCTGTGAAACATGAACAAGGCCTAGGCATGTAGTTAAGTGGTAGAGCCCTTACCTAGAATGCACAAGGCCCTAGCTTTTATCTCCAGTATGAGACTCATTTTTAGTAATTATTTGAGAGAACAAATAATATTTTTATATTTACATGTGTTAAGTTTTCAAATATCTTTTACTTTTCTTAGTTTTAAACAACCACATTAAATTGACTGCTCCATCTGAGTATGGTGGCACACAGCTCTAATCCCAGCACTCAGGAGGCAGAGGCAGATGGATCTCTGTGAGACTGAGGCCAGCCCGGTCTACATAGGGAGTTCCAGGCCAGCTAGGGCTACAGGGAGACCCTGTCCCTGAAAAACTGAAAAAGAAACAGAAGACAGTCCATTTGGTGACTGTGCCTTCCTGGGGCTGTAACTGTGGCATTTCCACAGTTGTAGATGTGCTCATTCATTCTCCACTGACAAATGCGATGGGACGACTAGTTTACAGAGCTCTCCATTGCCATCATGTGCAGCTCCAACTCCTGGAGGATTACTGAAGCTTCACAAAGGACTTTGGAACAGGGCTCCAACCTGTAATGTCCTCACCCCATGAATGAATGTGACATCATCTTATCATTTGCACTGATGCCTCCTGATGCAGTTAGAAACAAGCCAAGAAGCTGTCTCACCAGCCCCTGCAGTGTGGCTGCAGTCTCTCTCCTCCAGCCCTGCGCTTGACTTCACCAGTTCACTTCAGCATTTTTACCTCCCTAAGCCCCCACAGTCATTACCTATTAGTGTCAGGCTCTTGGGAAATGAACGCTGTGCCCTTCACAATACCAAACACTACCAACTTTCAAAGCCCAGGGGTGGGGAACTTGCCAGCCTAGGGGTTTGTTCTCCAGAAATATTTCCATTGCTCACTTTGGGCTTCTACTTCCCAATTATGAAATAGCCAGAGTATAAACTGACACATAAGACAATCTTTAGAAGGTTAAATACCAAGCAAAGAAGGTATTAATCAGGATTTTCTAAACATGCATAGAATTAAACGGGCACTTTGACAATACAAGTAATTATTTTTCATTGCAATAACCTGGAAATGTGCATTTAGAGATGACAAAGTAGATGCACAGGAACACAAATATGTATGCTAAGTTGAAAAAAAATCAGTGTTTCTATAGACACTATGAAAGGAAATCTTATATCTCTCACCAAGGAATCAGACTTAAGAGACTGTTACCAAAAGCTTTATTCAAGTCAGAGGCGCTGAATGATTTAAAATAAATACTAAGAGTTTTCTTCAGGAAATTTTCTGCTGAAAAAAAGAGCAGGTGGTCTTGCAGCGTCCCCTCTCCTCCACCAGATGCCATCCTTTCCTTGGCTGGGACACACCTTGGAGGGTATTGTTCCATATACACATCTGTAGTTTTACTATGTATATTTTACTTCATAACTGAGTTGTATTTGCGTGACTAACAGGCTTTGAAACACATATCCAAGTGCAATTGTGTTTTCAAATTCGAATGCCATCTAGAAGTTGCAGGTATTGTTTATGTTCAAGTCTAACTGAAGTCCACCCAGGCAATGTCTGTGCTGTCCTCTTACCTGCAGGTCAGCAATAGCAGCCGGGCTCCAGGGCTACAATGCCACCCTGGTGGGAATACTCATGGCTGTATTCTCAGACAAGGGCAACTATTTCTGGTGGTTACTATTCCCTGTATCTGCTGTGTCCATGACTTGGTAAGTTGCACCTGGTTTTCAAATTGCTGGAATTTTTGTCTGATTGAGTTTGCGTGGGTCTTGTGCACGCTGTCACCATTGCTCTAAGTTTGTATGAGCAAGTTCCCAGAGGCCTGAAAGACTCATTTCCTTGTGGTCATGCACCACCCTTGGCTCTTACAGTCTTTCCACCCCCTCTTCTGCAATGGGCCCTGAGTCCTGGGAGGCTGAGGTTTAATATAGGAGTCCTATCCAGGGACATTCACTATGTAGTCTCTCATTGTCCATGGTCAGTTGTGGTTTTCTGTGTTAATCACCAGTCTGTTACATGAGGAAGCTTTGCTGGTGAGAGTTGAGAGATGCATTAGTATTGTCACTACCCCTTGTTCCACTATGTTCTGTGAGCCTTAGGTATAGAGGTTCCATTGTAGATGTGTCACTTAGGATCAGGCATCTCACAGACACTTATTCTCTATGTCTGATCAGTTGTGAAACTCTGTAATGGTCTCTGTTGCAAAAGAAACTTCTTTGACGGGTGGTGACTGGCATACTTGTCTGTAAATATAAGGATACATATTTGGCATACAGTAAGAAATGACATTTGTCTAAGGCTATGACAGATGTAGGGTTTTCTCTAGGATCTATGACCTCTCCATTCATGTGTATTTGGCTATGTTTACAGTGTCACACATGAGTTCCTTCCCATTGAGTGGGTTTAAGTCTAATTATATAGCTGTTGATTACCTCCAAGATAAAAGTGCCACTACTGCACCAATAGAGACAGTTTGCTGCACCAGTCATTACTATGGTTATTAAGCTTTTAAAGCTGGGGTTGGACCACTGGTTGATTTTTCTCCCTTAGCAGCTTGCATGGGCAAAACACTCATATACATAAAATAAAAATAAGCATATCAAAAAATTTTAAAGAAGTTTAAATATTGACTATAAAACCTTGACTATAACACACTGTGAGCAACCCCAGGGTTTATTTTTTCAAAAGTCAACTAAGAGTTGATTTTGTGTTGTGTTTTGAAATTGTCTCTGTGATAGGATTGACCTCGGGTTTTTGTCTATGGAAGGTGTGCCAACACAACACCTCAGGGCATGTGAACAGATAAAGCAAAGGCACAGTGGCTCTGCCTCGCTCCTTGTCACTAATGCTCATTCCTCTGTCCTATTCCTTCAGCCCAATTTTCTCAAGTGCATTGAACTCCGTGTTCAGCAAGTGGGACCTCCCTGTCTTCACCCTTCCTTTCAACATGGCATTGTCTATGTACCTTTCAGCCACAGGACATTACAATGCATTCTTTCCAAGTAAACTAGTCACACCTGTAACCTCTGTGCCCAATATCACTTGGTCTGAGCTCAGCGCCCTACAGGTAAGATACAAAGTTTTTTGTTTTTTTTTTTTAAATCTGCAATGTCAGTTCCAGAGGATGACTCACTAGAAATCAAACATTTTGGGGCAGTTGACCCATGTGGGTAGGTGACATGGGGGCCATTCCTGAATGTAGGTGGCCTCTCCCCTGAGGTTAGAATGCTCACGATTTGCTACCTCAGGTCAGAGCAGGATGCTTTGGGCTTTGGACTCATTACAGAACCTGTCTGTTCTACACCAGTTCAGGGTTCTCAAGCTACATTAGAGCTTAGGAACTTGTATTAACAAACTCCCCCAAATTGGGCTGCAAGTCAGAGCTTGAGAACCATCTCACCGTGTGTGTAGATACTGTGTGCCTCTTCACGGATGGTGTTCTAGTTTGCTTTCAATTGCTGTGACAAAATGATCTGACTAATGCCAACTTGGGGAGTAAAGGTTTTATTTCGTTTACATCTCCTGGGTCACAGTTCATCACTGAGGGAGCCCAAGGTAGGAACCCAAGGCAGGAACCTGGAGGCAGGAGCTTAAGCACAGTCCATGGAGGAATGCTGCTTACTGGCTTGCTCCCCTGGCCCCTGCTCAAACCTGCTTTTTTTTTTTAAATGTGTATGTGTGTATTGCCTGCATGCAGGTAAGTGCACCCATGTCATACAATTCCCGTGAGGACAGAAGAGGCTGTCGGATCCCCTGGAACTGGAGTTACAGACAGTTGTTACCTGCCATGTGGGTGCTGGGATTCGAACCCGGGTCTTCTGCAAGAACAGCCAGTGTTCTTAACTGTTGAGCAATCTCTCCAGCCCCCAAACCTGCTTTCTTATACAATACAGGACCACCTGCCCAGGGGTGGCACCACCACAGTGGGCTGGGCCCTCGCACATCACTCAACAATCAAGAAAATGCCCCACAGACATGGCCACAGGCCAGTCCAATGGAGGCAATTCCCCATCTGAGACTCCTTCATCCCAGGAGTGTCAAGTTGACAACTAAAGCTGTCTAGCACATTTGGGCTCAGAGAGAATACATGCTTTCATAAGCCTGCTTCTCTCAATCAAGTTCCAGCTCTTCTTACTGGTGTTTATATAGTAAATTTGTCTAAGGTTTTGTGTGTTTATATGTTTGTGTTACTAAAAATTGCACAGGAGCCTTATGTGTGCCAAGTACATGCTCTACCACTGACCTGAATCTCAGCCCCTTGCCAAATGTTTCTTAATTACTAGAACAAGGAGATACTTAAAATCAAAGAAAACCAAAGAAACCTTATCTTTTTATGGTGTGCAAAAGACTGGCTCTTCTACTCTGAAGTTAGGAGAACCCTTTGCCATCCTCTCTGTTGAGAGATAAAAACATGGGAGGAATTCACACAGCCTTTGCTTTAGCTTTGGCCCAGAATGCAAACGGAGGCATTTGAAACTCGCTCAAAGGAAAAGCAGCTACTCATGGAAAATAACATTATAAAACTGTAGCAATCTGTCTAAGACTGTGCTGTCTCATATGACAGCTTTTAGCCCCATGTGGTTATTTGAATTTAGATGTAAGCTAATTTAAAACTGTTTTTCAACTTCATTTGCCACATTTCAGGTGGCTAGTGTCTACTAAAATGGATAGTTCACATTAGACTAATCCATCATCATGAAGGATATGAAGAATAGTGCTGACCCCGAGAAAGGGAGGGTTGACCTTTTCCTGTTCTGAACTCAATTATTGGCTATCACACCCAACTTTCCCACCCCTGGCTACCCAAGGGATACTTACAATAATAAGTTCAGAGATAAAGGCCTATTCAACCTTTACCTATGTAAAGTTCCCATGTGTGGAGGAAACACACAGGAAATGAGCTTGTGAGGACATGACGATGCTGGAAGAATTAATTTAGAGCCCATCTTAAGTGGAGTCAGCCTCAGTGTGGTCCAGTGTACTGAACAAGGACCACACCACTGTCTAGAAGGGGCTTCACTTGTCAGTCAGAGTCATTGCTTCTATATCCATGCCAAAAGACACCAAGAGAGGATAGAGGGCCATCATTTTTCAGGAAATGACTTTGCTCAAAGGGGAAATGCCATGCATGATTATGTCTATCCTAGCCCAACCAAAAGTTTTATTATAAAGAAATACTATTTATTAATTTTAGCCAAATCCTGTGTCTTCCTGAGAATTTTCATTCTATGAACACTTTAGCTAAATTTAGGCCTCCACCACAAAACAGAACTGTGAACTTTCTAGGTATTTTTGTGTTTTGAGACCTGATTGATAGGTGTTAATAACTAGAATAAGCTAAAGATATTTTTTGCTAAATTAGCACATGTTCCACTTCCTATCAGAAGGATAAATGTCGTCCTGTGGATTCATTAAGTTGCTTATAATTGCTTCTAAATTATGGTAAGATAACCTGTATTTGGTTCTCTGGCCTTAGACTGAGCAGCAAAAATCAGTGGTGGTAGTATTTCTTCATATTATGGAGGTGCACCACTTCGTTTTCAGCACTGATAGATAAGTGTAATCTGTGGTTCCTACCACCCTCAGGAGAAGGAGCATCAGGTCTGCATAACCAGTGGCCAAGGCCAAGTGTCAGCACTAGCGAGAGAACCAGACAGTGAAAGAGATTTGGAGAAGCCTTGCTCAGTGTGCACTGGGGAAGGGCTGGAGATAAGGCTCAGGAACAGCTGAGAGTTTTTTTCTGTATTAATTCTATTATAAGCATAGTGATACTGATCATGGGGCTGGAGAGAAGGCCAGGTTCGGTTCCCAGCACCCACATGGCAACTAACAACTAACTATCCATAACTCCAGTTCCAGGGGATCCGATGTCCTCTTCTGACATCCAGACATTGCATGACATGGGTGCACTTACATACTTGCTGGCAATCCACTCAAATACATAATATAAAAAGAGTAAATAAAATATTTTAAAAACAGTAATACTGATCTTGAAAGATAAAACACATTATGTAGAAAATCACATTGTACAAGTTTGCAGGTGTCCTGTGGGTTTCTGTTCTGTTGGTTACATGGCCATGTTTTTATACTTTCTATTGCAGCTATTGAAGTCCCTGCCAGTGGGGGTCGCTCAGATATATGGCTGTGATAACCCATGGACAGGGGGCATTTTCCTATGTGCCATCCTGCTTTCCTCCCCACTCATGTGCCTGCATGCTGCCATTGGATCATTGCTGGGAGTAGTGGCTGGTAAGAGTAAGACTCATTTTCTAACATGAGCATCTGCTCTACAATGTAAGCAGTCTCAGACACCTTCTGTTCAGAACTCTTGAGGTCTCTGACTAAGAGCAGCTGGTAGGATGCTTCCCATGACCCCACAATTCATTCTAGAGCATCCTGCCCTTTTTCCGAAACTCTGATGGCTGTCATCTTACATAACAGGACTCAGTCTTGCAGCTCCATTTAAAGACATCTACTTTGGACTCTGGGGTTTCAACAGTTCTCTGGCCTGCATTGCAATTGGTGGAATGTTCGTAGCACTCACCTGGCAGGCCCACCTCCTAGCTCTTGGCTGTGGTGAGTATCCCATGCAGAGGGTTGAAGGGAGGGGTGCTTATGAGGATACAATCAAAATTGTGGGAAAGCCAAGGGACTGTATGAGAATTAGAGCTGGAATTCTAGTTCGAGTCTACCTGCTAACTAACTGTGTGAGCAGGAAAAGTAATGTCTGTCCTCCGGAAGTATTAAAGTCAAATTGCTTCCCTTACTAGTTATTGTGAAGGTAGAATCTGCTGAGTCCTGATAGCCATTCTATATGATGTGTATTTGGGGAATAGACCCTTGACTTGTCCTGTGTCCTTGTACTTATTGTTAAGCCCCCAAAACTAGGTAGGATTTCATGTGGCCCTTTGAGAGTCACTTTAAGCCCTCTGTTCTCAAACTTTCAAACTTGAGCATACCCCAGAAGCACCCAGAATGTGGGATAAAACACAGGCTGCTGGGTTTCAGGCACAGCCTGATTCAGTGTTAGTGATAAGAGAGGAATCTGGATCTCTAAGAAGGTGGCCTGGAGACCACCTGCTGAGAACTGATTTGTTAACCTTTTCTGGACACACACACACACACACACACACACACACACACACAAACACACAAAAAATCTCCTCAGGCCCTGCCTGGAGAGATAAAATAAATCCTAGCAATCTCCAGTCCATCCTTCTCATTTTACTCAGGTTAGGAAAGTGCTGAAGAACATCCAGTTGGGGAGGGGGGATCCAGACGTAGAAGCCAAATTTCCAGTGTCCCTCCAGAGTTGCTCCTGCTACCCTGGGATGCTTCCCTGTGGTCGCTTTCAGATCCTATGGCAACTCCTTAAGGTAAAATGGACCTCAAGAGCTTTGATATGAAATTTAGCAGATTTCCCAAACTGATTATGAAGGGCAGACATTCATCCATATCCTTCAGCATCCCCAGTTCAATAAATAAAATAGAAATTAAAGATAATGTTCTAGAATGGAGGAAATGACACACTCGCTTAGGGATAAAAAGTAGAATGTAATCCCAGCACTTGGGAGGCAGAGGCAGGTGGATCTCTGTGAGTTCAAGGCCAGCCTGGTCTATGTAGTGAGTTCCAGGACAGCTGGGGCTACAGGGAGACCCTGCTTCAAAAAGACAAAAAGAAAAAGTAGAATGTAGAGAAATTATTTCTGGCCTGACAGAAATATGTCTAAAGTTATTTTATCACACCAGATGACTCAACCCCAGCTATCTACCCCAGCTGTCAAATGGTGGACCATGTTTCAGGCAGGATTTAGAATGGAATCCCTGGCCTGGCAGGAGTTGAGATGAGACAAGGGGTTTGTAGGTACTGTTCAGCTTTGATGTATGCTATAGCAAGGCTGACAGAACTCAAGTGGCTGTGTGTGCCATTTAGTTGTCATTCTGTCACTTTCTTTGCAGTTACTCAGCTTAGAGCTCAGAGCTCTGCCAAAACCTGCCTCTATTCTTTATCTTTCACAAGTTCAGGGCAAGGCAAGCAAGACTATGGCCAGATGCTGTGGCCACCGAACTCAACTAACCCAGAATTGCTCATGCCCCACTCTCCAGCTTTACTCTGAGATCGGCCTCAAACTTGTATCTGGAGTGCATGCTTTTCTTTTCTGTGCAAGCAGTAGCAAAAAATACATTAAGTCTATTTAAATATTCATGGTATAATCTAGATGGGTACTAGGAAGAGATCAGAGGGCTAGAGGCTTTGGTTTGCATGTGATTCCTGAGCACAGAGAGCACTAGAGTGGAAGGTAGAAGCCAGGGGCGTGAAAGAAGGAATTTAGGGATACTGAAAGGTCTGTATCAGAACCAGGAGAAATCTTCAGGACAGGATCTGCTGATGGGAAGTTACAGTTAGAATTATCAGAAAGTACGACCTGGAGAAGGTGGCTTTTCTGTAAGCCGTAGCACAGGAGGGGCAGTCCTATTTAGTGGAAAAGATGGTACAGCGCAGTATGGGGACAGCCTGACCATATATCCTCGAAGGTCAAGCAGAATTTGTCTTGGCAGGCTATAGAAAAGGATGGAGCAAGTGTTTCCCCAGGGAATATTTCCATTGCTTTCTTTATTGTAATAATAGTAGTAGTACAATTTCAAACACTGATTCAATGAACACTTTTGCTGTAAATGTCCTTGTGTGAATTATACAAGTATTTCTTTAACATACTTCTGGAAGCAAAATTGATGGTTTAAAGGGAATGGCAATTATAATGTCCACAGATATTGAGGAAGGCTATAGGGGCTTCTTCCACTGCTGACAGAGTATGGAAATGCCAATTCCATCTCCAATGGGTTCTAGAAGACTCCGTAATCTTTGCACATGAAGTTTTGAGACAGACCTCCAGTCCCTCTTGCAAAGTAAGCCTTTCATGTAAAATGTCACAGCAAGTTTCAGCTTGCCCACATTGCCCTGCCACTGCCAAACAAAAAACCAACCTTGTCTGCCAAGGTAAATAAGTAACAGACATTGATTACAAAGCTGTTCTTTTATTCATTCCAAATGTCTTTATCAAAAGGAAGCCTCAAGAACCTTTGACAGCATCTGATAGAGATGCCTCTCTTGCATCTCAATCAGAACTTGGATGCCCAAATAATATTTGGATTTGTTAGGTTATCCATGGTAGCTGTAAACACATTCCATTACTCTTATCAATAACTAGGTTACTAGAGTAGGACTCAAATATGGCAGTTCTTCAAGAGAGACATGGTCCATGAAGTTCAGGCTCCCTTCAGGGGATAAGGGTCTTTCTAATGCTGTCAGGAAATTGCCTCCATTCAACTGCAGTGTTTAGAAGCTTCCCCTGATGTAAGCCATTCCCAGTCGTGCTCCGAAAATCTTAATGGATGGGCAACCTTCCATTTATTAGTCTGACACTCTCACTTTGGAGAGGAAAGCAACTTGAACTTAGAGATAACTCCAAAACAGGATAACAGTATGAAACATAAGGGTTCCAGAAGCATGCTTTAGAAGTGCATTGGACCTCTAGGGGAGATAAGAGGCAATAATGTCTAGTGTACAGAGGAAGTACAAAGCTGGTACTCAAGAGAGCAGGGCAGAATGCAGCTGGTACATAGCAAAGATGTGGAATAGATGCTGAATGAATGAGTTACCTCTTGAAAATAAATGAAATTGATGAAACCACGAGCACCCCTCTGCTCAGAGTGGTCTCTTTGGTGCCCTGGTAAAAGGGAAGGGCCCATGGCTGCCCGTTATGGACGTGTTTTCATTTGAAATTCACCACCTGCCTCTCTAAAGCAAATCTTTAAGTTCCAAATAACAACAATAACACCCACTGAACCAAAACAAAATGAATCCTAAGGGATTCATTTGTCATATAACAAATTAAAGGGCAGAGTTGGGATTTTAAATCAAAACTATTTCTAAAGATTAGCCTTTCTAATTAGTATGAGAGACTCAGATGTGAAAGGATTCATTATATATTTAAGAAACACCAGAGGGAAAAAAGACAAAATATTGATCAAAGGGCAAGACTGTAGTATCATAAATGAGGATCTGAGAATCCCTGTCATCATTTCTGCCAAACCCCCAAGTCCCAAGAAAGCTCATGTGATTTTTTGTTTATTTGTTTGTTTGTTTCTTGAGTGACTAACAGTGGCCCAAATGTCTATGTGGACATTAGAGGAAAGTCATTCAATTTGACCCTGGGAAATCTGAAAACATCTTCCCGCACCTGAACCTCCTCCTCAACCAGAACTAAGGAATTGATGACTGGCTAGCTGATATCTCTTTTTCTGTTGTTTTACATGTAAAAGCCACATATATGGTTAACAAAAACTCTGCAATATGTTTTGTTCCAAAGTAAATAAAAACATTAGGTGTTAGGGGCTGGAGAGATGGCTCAGCAGTCAAGAGCACTGACTACTCTTGCAGAGGACCCGGGTTCGATTCCCAGCAGACACATGGCGGCTACGAACCGTCCTTAACTCCAGTTCTGGGGGAATCCGAAGCCCTCTTCTGACCTCCGTGGCATTGCATGACACAAGTGCACTCACATACATGCAGGCAATACATTTATACACATAAAATAAAAATAATAAAATATTTTTTAGAAATTAGGTGTTAATTAACTCATATACCCACCTTATAGTATTTTAAAAGATGTTATCATAAGGAGGGTCTCAAAGGTATTTTCAGTTTCTGCTAGGCTCTGAGCTGTTACCTTTTTTTATTCTATCATTTTTGTAGCTATGAATTCAAACCATTAATATGAGAAGCCTAGTGCAGTGAGATTGTATAGAAACCAGGCTGTCTCCAGAAACATCCACAAATCCACTTAAATTCAGTTACGTTTGGATAAAACAATATGGCAGTTTATTAACCATAGAAAGCCTTTCCCTAAAGTGTTAGCTATAACAATGAAAAAATTGTATCACAAAACTACTTTAATTGAACACTTACTGTGTGCTGAACATAGGTGTTATTTCCTTTCACACTCACCCTAGCCCTGTGAGAGACTGTCACATTACTTCTATTGTACAATGAAGAGATAGAACACAGAACAAAGACCAGTGCACTCTGCAGGGCTGGGGCAGGATTTGAATCTAGAACTTCTGACTCTGAACTGATATTTATAACTAGGGAACTGGGGTGCTAGACTAGCAGGTAGAATGCAAAAGTGCACAGGCCAGGAGGCTGATACTGGAAGACCTCCTTTCTTGTGATGAGAAACACATCTACAAATGCTGTTCTTTCCTCTTTTTGTAGCCCTGTTCACTGCCTACCTCGGAGCCTCTATGGCACACCTAATGGCTGGGGTGAGTTTTCTTCAGACTCATTTTGTCCTTGGCATGATTGGTCAGCTGTCAGTGATACAGAGCCCCACTGAACCCCACCTGGGCAGTGTCTGATGACAGGACTCATGAGCATGCTCACCATTGCCTCCCTTGTGCTAGGCTTTTAGACATTCCCTCCCTCTGACATCACAGCAAGCTCTAGTCCAAACTAGAACCACCAGGCTTGTCACAGATATCAGATTGCTTGGTTTAAAGAATAACTTTGATAATAGCTTTATCAATAACTTGATAACATATCATCACAGTCTAACTCTGAATGTCAAGAAGTTGATTTCAGAATATATTTTACTTATTAAGAAAATCAGGCCCTTGTAGTAGCTGAGAAATTGGAAAAGGGCAGATAACGATAATTGACAAACCAGGTATTTTTGTTTCAGATCCAACCTAATATTTTCATATCTCTAGTCTTCACCACCCTCCCAGCTAGTCATCAATAAGACTTCTCAGACCAAGGTCCTCGCTGTAATATTTACTAGGCAAAATCTTTGCTCATTAACTCCCTCCTGCCATTCTTTCTCCTTCTTAGCTCAAGCTGGCCTCAAACTCATTATGTAGCTGAGGCTTGCCTTAAACTAGATTACAAGATGAATGGTCAGAGGATGTTCACAATTTGCTAAGTATCATCTTGTGTGTCATGTGTCATCCTAGTACATCCTGTATAGGAAATCTGAATCTGAGAAAGAGGGAAAGACATGCAAAAGAGACATAATTAACCCCTATAAAAGACAAGGGAAAACATTTCAAATTCTGTGTCCTGAGATCACAAACCAAAATTCTATGGGCATAAGCAGAATCCGCAGCAGTGCCCTGACTGACTCACCCCCTAAGGTCAGAGTTCAGAGTATACCTTTATGGGGGCTAGCTTTCAGATGGGACTTCAAACGTGTGACTTGTTTCTTTTTCCACAGATTGGACTACAATCTTGTACTTGGCCATTCTGTTTGGCCACATTGCTGTTCCTCTTGATGACCACGAACAACTCCAATATCTGCAGGATGCCCCTCAGTAAAGTCACTTACCCTGAAGAGAACCGTGTCTTCTTCCTGCAGAACAAGAAAAGGATGGTTGAAGGCCCTCTGTAAGAGCGACCCCTCCCATAGCCATGGTCACAAGTCATTTCTAAGTACAGCTCAGGTGGCTTCCAGGGTCTCAGCGACTGTCGTACACTAAGAACTTGCATGTTATCAGCAACCTGTTGTTTTTCTCGATTTTTATTTTTCTTTTTGACTCCAGAAATATCCTCAAAAATATGGTAGCCACATCCAAGTGATACTCTTTGGAATCGAATTTAAACCCTAATGGAGGGTGCACTAAGTCATGTGCTTATAAAGTCAAAATCTTCCAACAGAAAGAGGGAATGAAAGCAGAACAATTACAGTTATTTATTGCCATTATTGATGTCAGTATTAAAAAATTAAGCTCTGTAAATGAACTAAGCTATTTATAATTCACAGCTACAGAAACAAAGCCAACCAAGAAGTCTCAGATAAGCAGTTTGCTTTTCCAATCAATGCAGGTTACACATAGCAACTGTGACCAACACTGCAGGGAGACAGGCTCGCCTGTCCCCAGCTCGCCAGTGGAGTGACCTCTGCACTGCCTAGCATGTGTGTGATATTCTCTTTTAGTAGAAATGGTGAGGGTTTTAACCAGTTCCTACACATAATTTTTTTGTGTACGAACTACTCACCATAGTTGTCTTGCTTTAATTCCTATATTGTTAGTTTTTTATGGTTTCTGGTTTTTCTTTTCTTTTATAGACTGGGTCTCAATATGTACCCCTAGCTTGCCTGGAATTCCCTATGTAGATCAGACTGGCTTAGAACTCACAGAGATCCTGCTGGGACTAAAAGCGTATACCACCATGCCCGCCCAACTTTTTTTTTTTTTTTTGAGATAGGGTCTCCCTATAGCCCTAGCTTACCTGGAACCTGCCGTGGAGATCAGGCCTGCCTCTCTCCCAAGTGCTGGGACCAAAGGCATGCACCATCATGCTGTGCCTATATGTTGATTTTTAAAAGTGCTTTGAATACCTAGAAACTTCATCCAACCTCAAGAGCCCTTTAAAGCCATATCTTTAATTAATTTGAGGATATATTATAAATAGTTGCAGTTAAAGTAACATTGCTTATAGTTGCTCTTTTTAGAAGTTCTTTAGCTTCTTTTTTTATAAATCATTATTTTCTGTACACTAACAATATTCTCTCTCAGAAACCAATGGTATTGGGACAACCAGAAAGTTGTACAGGTAAGGAATTCTCCAGTTTTTCTTAATTTTTTAATTTAAAAGTTGTAATTTCTGTAAAAATTTTATGACCAAACTTGAAGTGGACAGTAGAACATTTCACTCATCATCTACCACCTCAATCCATTTAAGTTTAATATTTGGAAGGTCATTCACGAAAGTGAAAATTTTAAATGCTAAAGATTTTTTCCTGTTGGGTGTGTTGGTTCTTGCCTACAGTCCTAGGACTCAGAAGGCTGAAGCAGGAAGACCATGAGTTCAAGGCCAGCCTGGGCTATCCTGGATGGCCTTGTCTCAAAAAGCAAAACACCCCAAACAAACAAAAATGAAGCACTTTTCTTTACTCTTTCAATGATCAGTTCTCAGTGTACAATCCTTCATTTGCTGAATGGATAGAGAGGAGCCCAGCAGTAGGTAAACCTGTAAATACTTTACAGAGATATTTACTTCTCCCTCTTAAGAAAACATAAAGTAAGAACTATCTTAAACCATATGATGAAAGCCTTTTGAAACCACGGATTTGCAACTGTCATAGATTCCCTGGTTGCCCCATGGAAAACCTGAATTTTTGGTGTTGGAATTGAAATCTTCCTGTTATAGAATTTGTAAAGTAAGAGTTGGGGAAAACAAAAGGTAAAATATAAGCAAAGACCCCCAGGATTGAAGAATCTGGACCTTAGCAGAGCGGACCAAAGCCTCTAGCATGCAGCCAAGGCCATCTTCAGAAACGGAGCCCTCACACGCCAATGGCAGCACTCCTCACCACGGGCTCAGGCAGATCTGCCAAGGGAAACATGCTAAAGCCTTCTATGTTGTTTATTTATATAATATTAATCTCTTCAGCTATTTTTGTTACTAAGTATTATCCTAAAGTTTAGTGAAAACTCTTAGGGATCATTTGTATTTTTTTGCTATTGTCTGTATAACAAATTTCTATGTAAACGTGAATAAATTATACTCACTGCTCAGTTTGGTCTACTGCATCTTTTACAGTTATTACAGATATGAACAATCACATGCATAATTATGTATCACTTATATTCCTGTGTTAGAATGATAACTGTCTTGGCAAGAGAAAGAAAATATTCTAAAGAGAGAGACACTTGAGCCATCCCTTTGGCTACCAACTATTGAGACAATGGACTCCAAAGAATTAAAATTCCCTCAAGAGGGACTGGAGAGATGGCTCAGCTGTTAGGAACACTGACTGCTTTTCCAGAAGACCTGGGTTCAGTTCCAGCACCCACATGACAGCTAACAACTGTAGGTAACTCCAGATCCTAGGAATCCAATGCCTTCTTCTGGCCTCCCTGGGTGCTGCATATATGTGGTGTACTTACATACATACAGGTAAAACATTCCTACACTTCCCATTTGAATCTGAGTAACAAATTTCCTCATATGTTTCCACATATGTATATGTTTCAAAATAAATGAAATTGAAGAAAGCCTCAGTGTTCTGAGGAAATTAACAATAGAAAGCCATAAACCACAACTCAATCCTATACAATGACTTAAAAGAAAGCCCTATGGAATACTATTGAAAATACACTTTTCCATAATATCATTAGAGTTAATGCTAATAAGAAAGAACTTAAAGACAAGCAAAGATTAGACAAGAATTCACACACAGACACACATACACACACACACACACACACACACACACACACACACACCTTAATTTTATTTCTGGTGGAGCAGCATAGAGAACTTGATAAGACCATGCTCTAAGACTTTAGGAAGAAAGGAATAGAATTTACACACTTAGGTGTATGCATGTACCAGTTCTTTCTGAATAGGTTTATAATAAAAAAGAAATGCTTTATTCATTTAAAAAACATTCATACACATAAAATGGAATACTAAAAAGAAATTTTTCCCCAGGAAGTTCATGCTGGAGGAAGGGAAAAGCTGACGCCCGATGCTAGCCGGAGGAGAAACTTGCCTTCCAGGAAGTGATTTCACACAGTTCTAGCAACTTATTGGACCACCTTGCAGGATAGACTGATGCCGGGACAGTGATGGGCAGGACCATACCTTGACCAGGACTGCTTAGTTATGTGTACTTCTTACCATCTATTTGAACCTCAACCTTATGTCAGTACCCCTAAGATGGACTTCAGGTCCATTGGACCTGTTCATTTGTTCCTCTTCCCCATGTATCTATATTAAATATATCTCCTTTCTTTGCCTTTCACTATTACTTGTCTGTTTGATTGGCATAAGTGGGTACGTCTAATTTATTAAGATTACCAGAGCCCAGGCCTTAACCCTAAAAACTCAAGTAACGGAATCCTTATTCTTCTCCTGTATTTGATAATAACATCAGATGAGTAGTCGGTCAAACCCTGTTTGATTTCAGATTGACAACTCCAACCCTTTGGGCATCTTCTCAGCTACCCTTTGTTCTCCCAACTCAAGGATGAGAATGAGTTACTGGGGACAGTTACACGTGTTCAGGACATGCTCCCAACCCTGTAAGGTGAATGTCGGGAAAACCGTAAGTCCAGGGTACCCCCATTGGAGCCAACCCTAGGAAAACCACTTCTCAGAATGTGTATCATGGGGTGATGCCCCAGCCCTGCTTGTCTCTGCCCCTGAAAGTGCTTCTCTCTCAACTCCCTTTACTATGATTAGCATACTTCAAAAAAATATGCTGAGAATGAAAATGTCCTTCAACAAGTGTCAGGGATAAGTTTCAAAGAATCCCAAACAGAAAACAAAAGGGTTGACGATAGGATGCTCCATGGAAATGGCCTCTGTTGCAACAAAATCTCTCCTATCTATATACAAAAATTTCCAGTATGATTTGGCCATGGACAACCCCCTTTTGCCTAAGAGAGGAAAGATAAAACATCCTGAGTCCCTAGATACTATAAACTTTTATAAGGTATGGGCATCAATTTGCATGTTATCCACTGCTATGGTTTGAATGTCTTCTCCAAATCATTTCTGTTAGAAAGTTAATCCCCAACACAACAAGATTGAGAGGTGGGACCTTTAAGAGATTAGTCATGAGGATTCTACCATGACAAATGGATTAATGCCTTTTTCACAGGGAGTAGGCTAATTACCATTGGAGTGGATTCCCGACAAAAGGAGGATGAGTTTCTCTCCTCCCACCCCCCCCAACCTCTCTCTGTCCTTCCTTTCCCCTCCTGCTGATACAGCCTTGATTTTGGACTTCCCAGCCTCTCAAACTGTGAAAAAAAAATTCTCCATTATCCAGCTCCTGGTATTCTGTTATGGTGACACAAAATAGACTAAGATTCTGACAGTACTCAATTATAGAGAGTGAGTTCCCAAGAGATCAGGAATTTACAAGAGGGCATCTCACAAACTTTTTTTTTAGGCAGTGTCTCCCTGTTGCCCTAGCTGTCCTGGAACTTGCTATGTAGGCCAGGCTGGCCTCAAACTCACAGAGATTTTGCGCCCAAATGCTGGGATTAAAGGCATGTGCCACTACACCCAGTTAGAATAATGTTCTATACACAGGAATGTTTTTCTGCCTAAATTCTTTCCAAAAGGCTTTGATCTTTGGAACTTCATCTCAGAAGAGCTTGTAGTTTCAGGGCTGCAGAGTCTCACTTGCTAAAACAACCAGCAAGGCAGAGTCTGAAGGAACTTTAGTCTCAGTAAGTGAATATAATAAATAATAGACTTTTAAAGAAAGGGAAGCTGGTCATGGTGTCTCATGCCTATAATCTAGGACTTAGGAGGATGAGGCAAGAGAATTTCAGTGAGACTGAGGCAAGCCTGGGCTACAGAGTGAAACTCTGTCTTAGAAAGAAGGAAAGAATGAAGAAACAAGAGTGAGAAAAACAGAAAGAAAAA